AGGCAAGCATGCCCCCTAGCTCCCCAACCCAAAAGACAAGCAGTGTCCCACTGCTTTCTCTGCCTCTTGCCACAGAGACTCCTTCAGATACAATCACTGTGCATACTTGCTGCTGGGGTCCTTCAGTTAGTGTTCCCACCAGGTCCAGGGATGCTACCCTACCCCAAATCAGCTTATTTCACTTTCAGCCCTGTGAGTGGAAAGCGGTAATGTGGAGGTGAGTGTTAACTCCCAAGACCAGACTAGAACTCTGGCAGATCCCAGTCTTCAGGTTCTAGGACATCCCAGACCTTGAAAGTGGGGGCTTCCTACAGCCAACACGGCATTGGGGGTCTAAACCCCACAGGTACAGGATGGAGTCTAGACGCAAGTGGGAAGGTGCCATTCCAAGGCATGTGCCTTGCTATGAGACTCTGGAAACCGCAAAGGACACAGGCTAGTTCTATACCACACAAGCTCCCTGCCGAGGCCTGCCAGCCTGCCAATTTCCTGTTGTCTCCGCTAGTGAAACAAGTACTATAGGAACTTGCCACCAGCGCCCTGCACCAGTGTCAACAGGAGGGTGAGCTAAAGGCCATTGGGCAGTACAGGCCTTATCCCTGCCTGACTGTTTGCTTCCTTATTCTCTCTTAAACACACGATGGAATGGGAGAGTAGCAATAAACCCAATGACAAATAAGTGCTGCCTGGCACCAGCCCTTAAAGCCCCAGGAGCATGGCATTCCCCATTGAGCAGCCTCCAGCAGGAGGGGAAGCTGTGTCAGCATCCCTGAGGTAACAGAAAGGGGTTAGAATAGATCAGGAGATCTTGCCTAGGCCAAGTCCATCCTGCTTATTTCTGTAGCCAGTGCCAGTGGGAAGGTGGGACTGCAAATGACCGTCCACGTAACACAGGGTCAGGACCCTCTCCACTAAATACATAGCCAGGTAGGTCCCTCCCTTGGAGAGATTGGCAGAAATTTCAGGTGCACCCCCACACCACCAAATATATATATTTCAGGTGCACCCCCACACCAAATATATATATATATATATATATATATATATATATATATATATATGTATGTGTGTACATATATATGTATTTATATGTATGTGTGTACTGCCCACATATAAATAAGCCTTGAATGGCAGATGTGAAAACTCTCTCTTTAAATAATAATAGTTGTTGTTGAATTTAAAAACCATGAATCAGCCATCCAGGCTTATGAATTAGTGACTCTCCTCAGAGTCCCCACAGTCCTCAGTGTTCACTATCAGTCAGGGCCCTGTGCAGAAGCCCTGAGTCTGTTGACCAGGATTGTGGGTCCAGTGTGGCTGACTTCAAGATAAAGCAAAGTAATCTTAAGGGTAAAACACAATGTGTTGAGCAGTTTCTGCACAGTGGAGGGCGAGCCAGGGGCACTGCTGTCGGATTCCTAACAGGGAAATGTCTGCTGTCAACTAGTGCTGGCTTCTCCGAGGTAGTTTTCTTTCTTCCTGTCCCAGAGCACACTGCAGGCCACACTTAGCTGCGTAGTGTGGGCAGGATGTTCCACCCTCTGAGACAACCCCGCCCTGCAGATCTTTGCCCCTTGGGTAGCTCAGGGTTCAGATGGCTGGGGTCACCCAAGAGCACCCAGAGTGTGGGAGGAACCTCCACACAGTCTGCAGAATCAAATAGTCTTCCTAAAAATTAAACGTACAATTTGTGGGCAGGACACATTTCTTGGAGTGATTCCCAGCATGCTCTTGTGGGGGGACAGTGTATTTCTCAAGGGTTTTATCTGTCTTAGGGCATTTGCTGGACTGTGGTCAAAGTTGCCAACATTTATGCTTGCCTAAGGCCACTTAATAAGTTATATATGGGGTCCTCCCATGCATTGCATGTGCTCCAGTCAAGTCTCCACAGGGAATGAACTCGCAAAGACGTGTCCAGGAGTTCATGTGCCGTCAGACTCTACCCACTCTTGGTGATAGAAGCCACGTGTTTGCCGATGACTTTGGGTTTTCTAACAACTTGCATCTCATCGTGACTCAGGCTTTTGCAAGCGGACTTTGCTCATCTGCTTGTGCTCCTGTCGTCCTATACAATCACGGGGATCGCATGTCACAGCAAATATTCCTGTTTTTTTTTTTCCCCTTAGAGATTCTTTGAAGCTTCATTTTAAAATTTTATTTTTGTTTTTGAGAATTTCACTGTGATACTGGGTTTGTACCATTTTCACCCTCTCTCCCTCTCCAATCCGTCCTGTTAGATTTTTGTTTAAATTAAAGATAAAGAAAAAGAGGAGGAAGGCTCAAGATGAGACACAGGATGAGACATACTAGACATATTAATCAGTTTATTATAGGCCTGACAGAGTAAGGAGGCGAAGAGAGAGTAGGTGGGAGAAGAGGAGAGAGAGAGAGAGAGAGAGAGAGAGAGAGAGAGAGAGTAAATGGGCTGGGGTCTTTTAAAGGGGTCCTCTGCACCTGCATGCAGACTCAGTTCCCATGGAACCCTGACCAGGGTACTGCCTGTTCTGCTAGGTAACAGGGGCAGGCCAGCATAATGCCTGAACCTTTCACCTCCTGTATCCCCTCATTTTCCCTCAAGTCCATCATCTCTCCTTCTATAATTATTATTGTTTTACACACACAGACACACACTCTCACACACACTCTCTCACACATATGCACTCACACACACTCATACACACACACACATTCACTAACGCACTCCCCCACACACTCTCTCTCACACACTAACACACAGACACACTCACACACACAAACTCACACACACACACACAGACACACACACACACACACACTCACACAAACACACACAAACACACACACACACACACACACACATACGCGCATGCATGCACACACATCCTATTGAGCTCATTAGTATTGTTCATGTGTACACATGTTTAGGGCTGACCACTTCAGATTGGATTGCCTATCTGTAACATGTCCCTGGAGAAGACCGATTCTCTGTCTCCTCATTGATTGCCTGTAGCTCTTCCTCTAGGGGTGGGACCTTGGGAAATTTCTCCATCCATGCAAACATGTCAACTGGCATTTACATTAATCATGTCTTATTTAGGCAACTATATTGTTGAGATTTCATGGATTCGGTATCCCTAACATGTCTAGAAGACACCATCCTTCAACAGGTGCCCTGGGCTTTAACAACCTTTCTCTTGATCCTTAGCTGTAGGGTTTGCACTGTAGATTTATCTGTTGGGGCCGGTGCCACATGACAGCTGATTCTTTGCAATTTAATCAGCTGAGGATCTCTTTAGTCACCTTGGTACAGTGCAAGATGATGGAGTTTCATTTTAGAGGAGAGGTATTTGTGTTTTCTAACTTTTCTTGAGTGTTTTTCAAACTTGTGAATGTTTCCTTAGTTGCTGGTTCTGTGACAGGAAGTTGTGTTTCTGCATGCACTCCTCTTCCCCCAGTTGCAGAGCTGCTGATTCTGCATTCCTGATACTGGGAATTTCTTCCTTTCCTATATTTTCCCTGATGCATTGGCTGCATGTCGCCTATTATTTTATGAAGGGATAGGATCTTGGTTTCATACGCATTTTCTCTCTTTTGTCTTGTACTTGTGTTGGGTTCTTTTCTGACCTTCATTTCCTTTCTTCTGTACACACACACACACACACACACACACACACACACACACACACACCACACGCATGCAGGGCCCACGGACTCTGGATCCTGAGGTAGACTCCAGCCCCAGGGAGAATCAAGACGGTGTCTCTCCAGATGAAAGAGTTGAGCATTGCTCTTGGTCTCTGCTTATAAACCACACAGTGGATGTCATAGTGTCTAGGACTATCTGGTTACCTTGAGTGAGTGAATTCATGGAGTTCTTATCAGGTGCAGCATTGGGTAGAGTGGGGTTCCTGAAACAGCTGTTTTTACATGTCTAAAGGCATTTTTTTTAACTATACACATTACAGTTTCTTAAACATTTTTTGAAATCATATTTTAAATTCCATCTGGTGTATTTCTAAATACTAAAAGTAACACTAGTCTTGGCTTTAACAAAGTTATGAATGAAAACATAATGTCTTTCCATTGGTTGTGCCTTTTTGTTGTGACTGTTTGCTTTTAAACAAATGTTTTAAAGATTTAAGTTCTTTTTTTCATTGTCTTTACAAATATACCGTGGATATACTGGAAGTTTGCAGGGTCAGAGGCTAATTAATTCTCTTGGGCTAGTTTTAGCTTCTGGAAGGGCTATGCCTTGCACAACTCCATGTTTGAACTAATAGCTCATGATGACAATAATTAAATCCTCTAAGGAGCTATTAACTCAGCAGGACACTAGCTTCCACCAATCCAAGAGCTAAGAATGTCATCACACAGGACCTGGGCCTATAGTGTTGCTTCTTACCTCTTGGTACCCACTTCTTTGGTATATCCACCAATGTATTTTAAAGCTGTCTTGATTTATGAGTTTCTGTGTTCTGTAAAACTATAAAACCTTCATGAAACTGCTTCCCAGTTGGAACATGGAATTGGGGGACAAACTAAACCTGTGTTCCAGGGCCATGTCACTCAAAATGTCTCCTTAGGAGAGTTGTGCTTTTTACATCAACAGTGTCCTTGACTCAGGCTTTCCAGTGTGTCCTGCCTGTCACCCAAGGACACATCTGCTACATACAGCCTGCAGGTGCCACAGAGTCACCTGCACTGACCTGGCTATTTGGTTCTTCGCTGACTGGAGTTACACTGTGCTTTCCCTTCACTCCACTTTTGCCCTCATTAACCTGCAGCGATGAAGCCAATTTTGCGTGGATAAGAATCTGCAAATGAGACTGGACTGATGGGTCAGCAGTGAGGAGCCCTTGCTGCTCTGGTGGAGACCTCACAGCATCTTCACTCCAGGTCCAGGGACAGATGCCGTCTTCTGGTCTTCACAAGCACTAAAAGCATGTAGTACACTTCCATCCCCCTCACCAACACACTCAACACTTAAGGTGACCCCCCAAATTTATAGAAAAACACCAGGCTTAAAGAACCATTTATTTATTTATTTATTTATTTATTTATTTATTTATTTATTTATTTAGAGAATTTACTTTTTCTCTTTCCTGTATCACAGACAGAATCATAAAGTAATTCACAGAATTACAAGGGTCAATGACTCATGTAATTAATGAGAGTTAAATTAGTATATTATGTCAGCAGATTATAAATGTCCACAGTCCTCACCAAGACAGGTTACAGCTAGGGAGAGGGTGCTGTGGGGAGGGGGGAGAGTTGAGTTCACCATTCTTCTACTTTTTTCTGCTGAACAAACTGCCCATGAGGCCCCTCTGCATCTGGGGGCAAAAGGGCCAAGTACACGGGGGTCTCTGCTCCTTCTTCTAGGCTCTTGGGGGCTTTTGGTCCTGTCAAGTCTGTTCTCACCCACCCTGGGCAACAGGCATTGAGGAGGATCTTGTCATCTCTCCTCTGCTGGCTGAGTTTCCGGGCATGGATTCTGGACAGGACTGTCACCCCAATCTTGGACACCGCATAAGCACTATTAGGCCAGCCTTCCATCTCATGCATCCCTCTCTTTGTGGCTTCCACAAACTTGTTCATGAGTTCCGCCAGCTCCTCCTCTGTGATGGTGTCACTTCGAAACTTCTGCTGCAGCTCCGGACTGCAGTTTTTCAGGGCCCTGAGACTCTCCATGCTTGATACATTCACCACTCTGCCTAAAACAGACCACAAATGTCTTTGTAGAGAGGCATATGGAGAAGGTATATGAGATTTTACATCTGAGAGAGGGATGCACAGACCAGAACTACTGAGGCAGCCTAAGAAACTGTGTTCTTTCCTTTAAGGTTTGGGTGGGTAGAGAAGTGAGGTGACCATGGAAACACCTGTGCTTAGAGGTTCTAGAGATCTAGAGGACCAGACAGCAGAGGACATGAGATCAGAGGACCTATACTTACTCAACTCTAAACCAGAACCTCACATTCTTTTGTTTTTTTAAAGAGTTTATTTATTTATTATATATACAGTTTTCTGCCTACATGCCAGCAGAGGGCACCAGATCTCATTCAAGGTGGTAGTGAGCCAACATGTGGTTGCCAGGGATTGAACTCAGGACCTCTGGAAGAGCAATCAGTGCTCTTAATCACTGAGCTATCTCTCCAGCCCCAAATCTCATATTCTTAAAGTGGCTCACTTTTCATTGCTGGTGTGTATTGAGTAAGGGGTGGTTCACATGCTATCCAAATGACAAGTGGTGTTAGCAGTTCATGATCAAGGTAATGTCACAGTTTCTTTTGCAGTACATGAACAAGTTAAAGTAGGGCTAACATGAGCCTGGAGGAAAGACTAGTGTTCTGAACCATGCTAAAGACTTGGGCTCTCTAAAGGATCTTTGGGACGAGAGAATTACATAGGCAGAGACTCAGCAAAGGAGCACACTCAAGAAAGGAGGTCTCTTGGTGGGAGTGTTCTGTGCCTTTGACAGCTGAGATCTGCTGAGGAAAGCACTCAGTGGACATAACCTGAGGGAAGAACCACATTCCAAGTGGCAAGACAGAGGTGCCAGGAGCGGCCTGGAAAACACCCACCAGACTCACCTTGGGGTTTTATTAGAGGGAGTAGCTCGGTGCAGACATCTTGGGTACCAAAAAAGTTTGTTTTCATTGTCACTTCTGCTTGAATGTGGAAGGGAGTTGGGTCAGCATCTTGCAGGGCAGAAAGAGAAGGATTGACTTGTTAGAAACCCACTGCCAGGAGTCTAGTGAGAGCACTGCCCCAAGGCCAGTCTGATAACGTTGGATTGATTTTGAAAGACAGAACCACTGGGGGAGGCTGACAGAGGCCCTGTGCATCAGGATCTGAACGTTTAACGCCTCTTTCCTGCTCTGCCCTTTCTCTCCACACAATTTCTTGTTTATGTCACTATGATTTGAGGGTTCTACTCAAGTATCCCCAAGACCAGTGACTCCACAGCTGGGGAGGGAAGCCAGGAAATGGTGGCAACTCGTCCTATGTGGATTCACAAGGACCAGATAGGCTCTGCTTTGCCTGCAGCCCCCACCCTGTCCTGCTTCTCCCAGGGGACCTGTTCTAGACTCCCAAGTCAGAGAGCCCTGCCCTAGTGGTGCTCCCCAGGGAGGGGCAGCCCAGCCTGGCACCAGGCTCTGGGGAAGTCGTCTCCCCTCTCTGCGCCCCAAGTCTTACTCTTGAAGGCGATGCCCGCATTATTGATCAGCACGTCGAGCCCCCCATACTCCTTGAGCAGAAAGTCGCGCAGGGCGCGGATGCTCTGCAGGTCGTCGATGTCCAGCTGGTGGAAGCGGGGACTCAGGCCCTCTGCCTGCAGCTGCTGCACAGCCGCCTTGCCCCGGTCCTCGTCCCGCGCGGTGAGCACCACGTCCCCCGAGAACTTGCGACACAGCTCACGCGTGATGGCAAAGCCGATGCCCTTGTTAGCCCCGGTCACCAGCGCCACGCGGCTGCAGGACGACATGGCTGGGTGTTCAGAGGGAGGCGGTTACAGAGCACGGATCCTGAGGTTCCCCGTGCAGCAGGAGAGCCACTCCTAACAGGGTTTTTCTAAGGACACGAGGGTTGAGTATGCGGGCATGCCCCCAGTGCCATGAGCATCAACTGTCTGGCCTCCAGGAGGGCGTGGCAAGTTGGGGACTGGTTTTTGCGTGCTTTACTCTTTGTAACTGTCCTCTTGTCTTAATGGTGTATAATTACGGGTGATGGCTCATCTTCACAGTATATGTCTTAGTTGCATAAATCTTTTCAATAAAAGAAACAGGCCAATTCCTTTGCAGTCTCAGAACAAGCAAAGCGTGTTGAAAGTTAAAATCCAGCTAGAAAAATGGCTGGGTCGGCTCATGAGCATCTCTGGCTTTTTTCCTCAAGGAGTTTTGGAAGCCCCAGCCAGGGGAGACTGCAGGAGAAGTCTGCAGAGAGGCTGCTGCAGCTGTCCACCCGGAAATGAGACATTGACCTTGCCCATGTGAGTGAATCTTCCTCTGTGCTTTTATCAATGTTGCACTGTTTTCCCTCCCTAACTTGGAGATTGGATCTTTGTCCTTAGTCTTTTTGGTGTCTAGAAAAATAACTCCTGGCCCATTAAGTCAAAGGATCTAGAGTTGTAGGATAAACTGGTGAGAAGGATTAGGGATGGGAATTCATTTGGGGTTTCCCACTTAGGATGCTAAAGCAAAGGTGTTGGTTAATCCTTGGGCAGGAAGCAATCCTTACTAACCACATGGGTTGTCTGTTTACAAATTTCCTAGTGCTTTACCTTACCTGGATGTGAGCACTGAGGTGTACAGAGGCCAGGGCCTTCAGTGAACCTGCTCCTTTGTACTCAAAATAGCACTTGGATACACACCATAGTTCCCCTTTCAAGGTTAAAGCTCTGTGCTCACAAAGGTGATAGTGGGTCCAGGAGAGGGGAAGAAATCCTCACTGCCCTGTAACTCCCTGGAAATGGGGATCTGAAGGTCAAGTTTCATGCTGTTTGTGTTTGATAGGTTGCTAATAGCCACAGGTGGCCATTTAAATTAAAGTAAGACATTTGAGTTGCACTGACCACAATCTGCATGAGGGGCGGTATGATTGGAAATACAGTGAAATAAGGAGACAGATATGAGACATTCCCACGACAAAAGCGTCTGTTGTCTCATAAGGATTGGATGTAAACTGCCATTTCAAGGCAGGCTTCTAGTGAGTTGCTTAGGAAGTCTTACTAATCATGAAAAGCACAGTCAAGGATAGGATGACTCAGTAGGTGAGGACAGTGCCTGGAGCACTCAGCAACCTAAGTTCAATTCTTGGAGTTCACGTAAAATTGGGATGAAGAAAGTCATACCAACAAGTTGTTGTGATCCCTCTGAAGGTTTGCAGTGGTGTTTGGAGAGGTGTGTGTGCGCGCGCGCACACACACACACACACACACACACACACACACATGTCCATTGGAGGGAAGCCAGGTACCCGTTTTGCTTCATATCTTAGTGGCCTTCCTGGGCATGAGAGACAATCATGCTCTGTTCTCAGAGAGCTGTTAAATGTGCCTGTGGGGGAAAAAGTAGAAGCCTTGTGGGTTAAAGGAGACCTCAGGAGAAACTATAGGAGAAGGACATTTGGAGAGTTTTATGAATTTAGAGAATGTTTTAGAACTTTTAGAGAGAAATCTTAAAGAGAGCTTTTCAGAGACAACTTTTTGTGAGGCCTCCATCTTTGTAGAATAAAGAGCCATGAGAGGCCTGCAGTTGCTGCACAGCCGCCTTACCCCGCGCCTCGTCCCGCGCGGTGAGCACCACGTCCCCAGAGAACTTGCGACACAGCTCACGAGTGATGGCGAAGCCGATGCCCTTGTTAGCCCCGGTTACCAGCGCCACGCGCCTGCTGGACGACATGGCTGGGTGTTCAGAGGGAGGCGGTTACAGAGCACGGACTCTGAGGTTCCCCGCGCAGCAGGAGAGCCAATCCTAACTCCTAGGGTTTTTCTAGGGACAGCTTGTTTGGTTAAGCCGGCATGGGCTCAAGGCGCATGCGCATCATCTGACCCCGCCTCCAGGAGGGCGTGGTAATTCGGGGACAAGTTCTTGCAAGCTTTACACTCCCTGTAACTGTCCTCTTGTCTTAATGGTGTATATTTACGCGGTGATGGCTCACCTTCTGATATCGGGCTTAGGTGTATAAATCTGTTCAATAAAGAAACAGGCCAGTTCCTTTGCAGGCTCAGAGCAAGCAAAGCGTGTTGAACAGTTAAGCCAGAAAAATGGCTAGGTCGGCTCATGGGCATCTCTGTCTTTTTTCCTCAAGGGGTTTTGGAAGCCCCAGCCAGGGGAGACTGCAGGAGAAGTCTGCAGAGAGGCTGCTGCAGCTGTCCACCCGGAAATCAGACATTGACCTTGCCCATGTGAGTGAATCTTCCTCTGTGCTTTTATCAATGTTGCACTGTTTTCCCTCCCCAACTTGGAGATTGGATCTTTGTCCATAGTCTTTCTGGTGTCTAGAAAAATAACGCACGGCCCCTTTATCATAGGAAGTAGAGTTGTAGGATGAACTGGGGAGAAGGATGAGGAATGGAAATTCCTGCTGAGTTTCCCACTTAGGATGCTAAAGCAAAGTGTTGGTTAATCCTTGGCAGGAAGCAATCCAAACTAATCCCATGGGTTGTGTGTTTACAAACTTCTAAGTGCTTTACCTTACCTGGATGTGAGCACTGAGGTGTACAGAGGCCAGGGCCTTCAGGGAACCTGCTCCTTTGTACTCAAAATAGCACTTGGA